CCGATGATCACTGAGTCTGTGAGACTCACTCCCCTTATTTCCCTTTTGCAGATAGTGATCAGCCTAGCGTGCATTCATCAGTAATTTCAGTCCATCGTAGATAGGTAAAGGTATCTCATAACACTTTATTCCGAGTCGCTCCTCTGTTAGAGGTCGAGTTGTCATAGTGTAAATTGTTATGAAAGTAGACAACTGCGTCAATACAAATGTACATTTGGAAATTATAAGTCATGATGTATTATTTTTACAATTATGTGGAATAAAGGTTTATTCAATTTATAAAGATGATTGTTCAATTCTTATTACAAAGAGTTTTATGGTTCAAGGAAATTTTCTTAGATTGATGGAATGAATATGAGGTAATGACTAATGTTTCAAGTAAGGCTTGTTCGAGACTTGGCGAGTTCTCCTGCGAGACTCGGATGCCGGTAGCAATCGAGGAATGGTCGTTACAGTATCTTATTGAATCTGTCAGTTAAAATTCTACTACGCAAGTATATGTATCGAATAGATAGTATATAAGCAAGCAGAGTATCGATCGCACAGAAAATTGATTTAAAATTTTACTAAGTACTAAAATTATAACAATTTAATCTCATTCAAACAATCAAATTCAAATAACTAAACTAATTAATTAATACTAATTAACCAAAATTTAAATTAAAAGCTTTTTGAATCTCCAAAAGGTGTCTAACCTAATGCTCTTAAAAATATCCTATTTATATTAATAAACTTAACTTATAGTTTTCTAAGTTGACCTATGATTTAATTGGGCTTAAAAGCGTAATGAGAGGCCCAAAAAAGTCAATTATCAACCTTTAAAAATTTCCATTCCCATCACAATACATTCAACCATTTTCCAATGTGATTTTCTCTATATTCAAAGTAGAACTAGATAAAGTGATCTCAATAAAAGTTGTAGCTCTATCTGTTACCTTTCCAATTGTTCAAAAATCACATCATTTAGAGTTCTGTAGTGCAAGTTATAGCTAAAATACTAAAATATATGTAAGTAGACT